AATTTAGTTTTTTTTATTTATAAATTGTAGTTTTATCTGCATTCATCCTACCAACACGAGCTTACTAAGGCTTTATCGCCCAACCAGCAACACTAATGTCTATTTATATGTTTGAGAGCTCCACTTATACTACTCATACAATCTCTTCTTAATCAATAAAGGGAGAAACTCAAAAATAGTCAGATTTACGAGTGGTCATTCAAAAATAGCCATAGTTTCAAAAGAAATCAAAATTTAGTCATTTTTCATGTAAAGATAAATTTGAACGAAAATATTATTCAAAGTTCGGAAAATACTCCAGCATAATATACTGGAGTTCCAGCATAACTATACTGGAACTTCAGTATAATATACTGGACTTCCAACATAATATACTGGAGTTCCAGCATAACTATACTGGAACTTCAGTATAATATACTGGACTTCCAACATAATATACTGGAGTTCCAGTACCATATACCGGTCTGACATAATATGTTGGAAGTTCAAACACAAGTGTTCCAATCTCGAGTATATTATGCTGGAACATTCCGTGTGTTGGAGTTCCCGCATAATATGCTGGAAGTTCATACACAGGTGCACCGATCTCCACTATATTATGCTGGAACTTTCAGCGTTGCAGCAAAATAGTGGTTGTTTTTCAATGACTTTGCGAACGCTGACTATTTTTGAATGACCAGTCTGAAAACTGGTTAGCCCATGCTATTTTTACTTAATAAAGCCCCTACTGTTACATAAATTTTCATTCAATCTAACAATCAGACTACCTTCAATTCTGTTAGATAGTTCGCTTGGTAGAAATGAATATACTGAATGCATATCACGAACTTATGAATTCGGATGATAACACTGTGAGTTGAGTTGATCTCAATCACAGCTCATCCTCCATTAATGGAGACTCAAATGAGTGAATCGAGCTACAAAAGAGAGGATGAATATCAGAGAGAACAATGAGTGAAAAACTTTCTAGTATATTGAAAAGCATATGCAAAGTCTGATATACATCACATATATATACACAATCACCCCACTAACTTAATCTCCAATTAACTAATGCTAATTATTTTAACTACTCTAACTAACTGGTGACAGCTGGCTTCTGTCCCCACTAACTTGTCCAGTTGTCACTCTCCTTCACGGTCTCTCACACTCCCCCTCAAGCTGGAAGGTGTAGAATGTTAAGCACTCCAAGCTTGCTCAACAAATATTCATGTTGTATTCTCCCAAGTCCTTTGGTCAATAGGTTCGTCGGTTGCTCATTTGTCCCTATATGATGTGTCTTAATCTTGCCATCTTTGATCTTGTCTCTCACAAAGTGACAATCAATCTCTATATGCTTAGCCTTTCGTGAAATTTAGGATTGGATGCAATCTGTAGAGCTGCTTTGCTATCACAAAACACATTCACAAGTTGTTCAACTGAAATGCCAAGCTCTGTAAACAACCCAAGTAGCCATACTATCTCTGCAGTAGTTGTTGCAAGGCTTCTGTATTCTGCCTCTACTAAGCTTCTAGACACTGTCTGTTGCTTCTTAGATTTCCATGACACCAATGAATCCCCATACTTCACAAAAAAACAAGTTACTAACCTTCTGGTATTAGGACATGCAGCCCAGTTTGCATCACAGAAGCAAGTCAGACTGTTTCCACCTTTGCTGCTTAGTAGAATGCCCATTCCTGGATTTAATTTGATATATTTCACAACTCTTAATGCTGCTTCCCAGTGAGATTGCTTAGGTAACTACATAAATTGACTAAGTGTTTGGACATCAAATATTATATTTGGCCTTGTGATTGTCAGATATATTAATCTTCCAATTAACCTCTGATAGCTTGTAGCATCCTTCATCAGCTCATCTCCAGATACCCCAACATGTGCATCAAACTTTGCTGAAGTGAATTTTGTGATTCATATCTATTGGAGTGGACGCAGGTTTAGTAGCTCCTAATCCCATATCAGAAATCAGTTGCAAGGCATACTTCCTTTGGTTTAACAAGATCCCTTTGTTGGATCTCATGACTTCAACTCCCAAGAAATATTTTAGTTCCCCCAAATCTTTCACTTTGAACTTGTGATTTAGAACATCTTTAGTTTCTTGGATGAACTGTTCATTGTTTCCTGTGATGAGCAAATCATCCACATACCCAAGAACAGCCACAAAATTTGCTCCTTTCTTCTTGGTAAACAGTGAATAATCATATAGACTTTGTTTATATCCTACCTCAAGGAGTGCCTCTGTTGGTTTGATGTTCCATTTTCTTGAAGCTTGCTTTAGACCATATAATGACTTCACTAGCTTACATACTTTGGTCTCCCCCTGTCTTCTAAAACCTTGAGGCATCCCCATATATACTTCTTCATATAAATCTCCCTGCAAAAATGCATTATACACATCCATTTGATACATATTCCATCCTTTTGATGTTGCTACTGCAATAACTAACCTTACAGTTACCATTTTGGCAACTGGTGAGAAGGTCTCATGGTAGTCTAGCCTCTATTTTTGGCTGAATCCTTTTGCTACTAGCATGGCCTTGAATATTTCAACATCTTTATTAACTTTATACTTTATTCTATACACCCATTTTGATCTAATTGTGTTCTTTCCCTAGGGCAAGTCTACCATCTTCCATGTTCTGTTGTCTTCCAATGCCTTGATTTCTTGCTTCATTGCCTCAATCCATCTCTTGTCTCTTGATGCTTCTATAAAGTTCTATGGTTCTGTGAGTTCTGAAACCTTTGCTACAAAGCTTTTGCATGCATGTGAAAGCTGATCATAACATTGATAGTTTGAAATAGGATATAATGCCACATTATGTGCCTTTTTTTTGGTAACATAATCTTGTAATCATATGGGTTCTTTGGTACTTCTGCCAGATCTTCTTGGTTCTGATTCCTAAGGAAACACATTCAGGTACATCATTTTCTGCATGCTCATCATGTGTAGCTTGTTGAGGTTCAGATGCTTTTTCAGATACTACAACATCATCAATGTTGCCCTCTTCAGATACTACAACATCAGCAATGTTTCCCTCTTCATAGACTGCATCAACCTCATCATTTTCATGAGCTTCATGGATTACAATAGTTGTATCAACTTCACTTTTAGATGCATGATCTGCAGCTGGTGTATGCAATGGTTCAAATGTATGATCTGCAGCATGTCCCTGTAATGGTTCATGCTCAAATGATACACTCCTCCTAGCAAAAATATTAACAGGATGCAATGAGGAAGACTTAGCAAATGGGAACAGATGCTCTTTGAAAACAACATCCCTGCATACAAAAAAATGATTAGTTGCAAGGTCCAAGAGCTTGTAGCCCTTTTGTGTATCTGAATAGCCCAAGTGCACAATAGGTTTGGCTCTTACTGAGAACTTGTTGTCATGTAACATAGTTGTGGCATAGCATAAGCATCCACAAACTCTTAAATGCTCAAGAGAAGGCTTCTCATGATGTAGAAGTTCATATGGTGATTTGCCTTGCAAAATGATAGAATGCAACCTATTTATGATGTAAACAACAGTAATAATACATTCTCCCCAGTATTTAGTTGGTATATTTGCCTAGAATTTTAGGGCCCTTGCTGTATCTAATATATGTCTATGTTTTCTCTCAATTACCCCATTTTGTTGGGGAGTGTATGCACAGCTACTTTGATGTATGATGCCATAATGTTCAATCAAATCAATGCACTGTTTGCTAAAGAACTCTCCTCCATTATAAGTTCTAACTATCTTAATAGCTACACCAAATTGTGTTCTTAGCATAGAGAGAAACTTTTACAACACAACAATTACATAACTTTTCAACTGCAGTAAATGTACCCAAATATACCTCGAACAATCATCTACAACTATTAGAAAGTAATATTTTATATCATGTGTGGGAAACTTGTATGGTCCCCAAACATCCATGTGTAAAAGCTGTAAAGGATTACTACTTCTTGTAACACTTCTAGGAAAAACTAGTCTGCTCTGCTTAGCTAATGGACATACAGAACAGTCTTTATTTTTATCAAGATCTTTAAGATGTAAGGAATCTATGTTTTTCATTGTACTAACAGAGGTGTGACCTAATCTTTTATGCCAAAGAATGCCATCTACTTCTGGTTTCTAGACTGCTGCAACCGATGCTTGCCTCAAACTTCTAGCAATGTGCTCATCCTTCACCACATACAGGCCTCCCCTTTCCTTACCAATCCCCCTCACCCTGCCACTCCAAAGGTCCTACAACACACAGAAGTCAGGATAAAGGTGAACAGAGCAACTGAGTTCCTTTATTAGTTTTGACACAGACAACAAATTAAATTTGAAGTCAGGAATATATAGCACATTCTTAATCTCCATGTCCTTAAGAAATATCGCGCTACCAATATGAGATATATTTGTCTTCTTACCAGTAGGTAAATGAACTTGATCCCTATCAATTTTCAACTTAGTCTTAGAATGTAGTATATCTAGGGAAGCAGCTATGTGATGAGTCGCACCAAAATCAACTATCCATTCTTTACTAGGATTATCAGTCATTAGTGCAGTAGCAATACCTGCCATGTTGACTTGTGGAATTGTGGTATCTTTATTCAGCACATCCAGAATTTGTTTATATTGATTCTCATTAAAGAAGTGCCCTCCTACAGGACCATCATTGTATGTTTTTCCTCCAGCTATGTGTGCTTGTTCCTCATGCTCAGCATTACCAGTTGCATAATTGGCCACAACTTTTCTCTTAGCATTGAAATATGCAGGATACCCTATCAACTTGTAGCAATTTTCTTTCAAATGACCAGTCATCTTACAGTAGTCACATTTCATGAATGGCTTTTTTCCTTTGTAGCCTTGTCCTCGTACAGCCTGCATAGCAATAGGATCTCTTCTAACTCCTAAGGCTGGATATGGATTTGATCTTTGGCTTCCATCCTCAATTATCAATGCATAAGCTTGGTTCAAGGTTGGTTCAAAAGTTTTCATCAAAATTTGCAGTTTGTTCATAGGTCTCATTCAGACCACTGAGAAACTAAAGCAGCCTTTGACGATAAAGGTGTTCAATGTAGTCCTTTGATTTAGCACATTCACAACCTGGCGTGGGACTAAAGCATCATACTCCGACCACATTTCCTTCAGTCTCGTGAAATAGGAGTCAACAGAGTCAGTTCCTTGCGAAATTGTTGCAATTTCTCTGTACGATTGAAAATTTTGAACTCGATTGACCTTATCAAATCCCCCCTTCAAGTCTTCCCAAACTAGGTGCACATCTGATGCAACTAACTAGGTTTGTTGATACAGTGTTCTTGATCCATGAGAGCACAATCGCATTGCATGTCTCCCATTCCTTATGTAATTCCTTCTTAAAGGTCTCCTTCTTACATGTACCAGTTACAAACCCTAGCTTTCTCTTAGCTTGAAGAGCAATTCGCATCGTCCTACGCCATAATCCATAGTTTTCAGACCCGGTGAGTTGAATTGGAATCAAAACTGAGCTTGGTGTATCAGAAGGATGCAGAAACAAAGGAGGAGTGTGATTAATTTTCTCCTCTACCATTACTGGACTTTGAGCGAGAATCTGTACCATATAAACACAGAATTGTTCAGCTAAGAAACAATCAGTATCGATTGCTCTGATACCATGTGAGTTGAGTTGATCTCAGTCACAGCTCATCCTCCATTAATGAAGGCTCAAATGAGTGAATCGAGCTACAAAATAGAGGATGAATATCAGAGAGAATAATGAGTGAAGAACTTTCTAGTATATTGAAAAGCATATGAAAAGTCTGATATACATCACATATATATACACAATCACCCCACTAACTGAATCCCCAATTAACTAGTGCTAATTATTTTAACTACTCTAACTAACTGGTGACAGCTGGCTTACTGCCTCCACTAACTTGTCCAGCTGTCAAACTCCTTCACAGTCTCTCACGGATACACTAGTCATGTTTCAAATTTGAATCATAAAAATAAATTAAATTTAGGAGCAAGTCTTTTATTAAAATAAAAAATAAAAAAATCATTGCCATGCTTTACTCAAATAAATTTAATGATCCCATTGTGTTCATTCAATATTTGATTTGACTTATTTTATCAATTTAAATAAACATTGACATTTTTGTTGAATGAAATGTAGCATCCCCGATCATAATTTGATAGTAAGATTTATATCAAATTATAAATCAATTATCTATACGCTAGTCTTGTTCCGATTTATAAATCAATGTTCAAATCCAAACGAACTAATAAATCATTGACTCTTGTAATTTTAACCCCTTCCTTTTTTTAATTTGTCAAAAGGATTTATTTCTTATATAAATTTAGGGTCCAAATTATATTTCTAGAAGTACTATTAAAAAATAAGTTGACATTTGAATATTTTAACTTTTATGATAGGGTATTATTTTGTTCTTATTAATATTTATATTCGGAATTCTCATGTTAGTCAAAATAAATTATCTGAAGGAAAATTAAAAGGTAATTGGATTGGAACGTTTGTTTTCCTGGTTGGATTGGAACAAGACAGATAAAAATTAGAGAAAAAGGACAAAAATGGTAATTTTTCCAATGCGTAATAGTAGTAGTAACAGAAACAACCAAAAAGAGTAGAGCCCAGCGATTTCAGCGGGAGCAATTATTTGGAAACTGCTCCTTATTTTACTGACCGCTTACCTCCAACCAAATCCCAATTTTCGAGGAAAAAAAAAATTTATTACCTACAGTAATTAGTGGCATTTAGTGCTAATATGAGAGGCTCTTAAATTAATTTTCAGTTGATTTATTTTAGTTCAACTTATGAGGGCCCACCTATAATATAGGAATAGATTTGCTTAATTAGTTGCATTTACTACTGATAAAAGTAAAAATTCCTATTAATTTATTTTTAAATTCCTTTATTAAGTTACTCATTCACTTTCGTTATTTATTTACTAATTATTTTGTATGATTGTAAAGGCTGCCATGCCAGCTTCCTCACTCAAATGTCTGACTCAATGAATGAACAGGTTAAAACAATCATCAATGACACATCAGAGCCTGCAACTTGTTGCTTGGCAAATTTATAGAATTACCCTTTGTCAAGTATTCTGTTAGATGATTTTCTTTGTTTTTCTAATTTATATTTTCTTTATTTATTTTTATTTCCATTTTAAACATATGTTAGTAGTATTAGAATTTCATCAAGAAAAGATTTTATGGAATGTAATATTATCAATGTACATCTTTATTGCCTCTGGCAACCTAAATTGATGGTAATTGAAGGAAATGATACATTCTTGGAGAAATTAGAATTAGATGTAGGATTATTTAAAAGGTTAAAATTGATTAGGTAGTGATATTTGAAACACGTGTATAGTTTGTTTGGTCTAACCTTCTAAAATTGGTTACGTTGAAAAGTATTTTTCTCGAAAGTACTTTTAGTAAGAAATACTTTGTATTTAATTAATAAATTTAAAAAATATTTTTAAGCAGTAATTAGTGTTTGGTCAAAAATTTTAAAAAAATTTTAAATTTATTTTTCTCAAAAATATTTTTCAAACAAAATTTTTTAGAGAGAAATTATTTTTTTTCTGCTTCTCAAAAACTACTTATTCTTCTATTCAAAAATAAATAAGTAAAATTTCTTATAAAAGATTGGTCAAACACCTTAATTTTTAAACAGAAAAATACTTTTGACTAAATTTGCGATAAAGTGCGATAAATTCTTGCCCCATCAATTATTCATTGAATAATTTGTAGAACTTTGATTACCTCGACTATTATTGCAAGTGGAAGGTACAAATGGATGAAAATATATTTCAACTGGATGCACAAAAGATAAAACTCATCGTATTTAGTGTTTACGTCAACAAATGCATACACGTCACCAGTTATATAGCTCCGTTCACTTTACGTGTTCACGTTCTAAAAATAGATTTTAACTTTTAATTATTATTTTTAGTATATCAAGAGAAGATAAATTTTTTTCTATAGTATTAATTATTTATTTTAAATTATTTTTTTAAAATTCATTAAAAATATGTATCAATTAATATAAGTATCATGATAAATTATATACTTTATTTATTATTTTTTAAAAGATGTGCAAAGTCTATAGTAGACTATTAAAAGTAGACGGAGGGAGTATATTCATAGCACTAAACCGTACTCCTTCCGGTCCATAATAAGTAATTTTTTACTTTTTGGCATACCCTTAAGAAAATACGAACCCCTAGAGAAAAAAAGGATGTATTCACTAAATTACTTAATTAATTGTTACCTTGACACATTGAGATATGCAAATAAGGTCAAATTTTAGAAAAATAAAATTAATTCCTTCTTGATTATATAAATGACACTTATTTTGGACGAAAATAAAAAGGCCAAAAGGTCACTTCATGTGAACCAAAGGGAATAGTTAATTAATACTCCCTCTGGTCCATAATAAAGTGATCAATTTACTTTTTTATTTTGGTTCAAATAAGTGTCCATTTATATAATCAAGAAAGAATTCAATTTGTTTTTACAAAATTACTCTTATGTAAATATTCCTAAACAATTTTCTTACTCCTCACATTAAATATTTAATTAAGGGTAATTTAACCATACTAGATATTTTTGTATAAAATTTAGTATTTTCTTAATGGACTGTCAAAAGTAAATTGGTCACTTATTTGCACCGTAGGGAGTATATATTTATAACTAAATTAATATGATTTGTGTAAAATTGAGTATTATTACCATGCACAACTGGTCACCGATAGCATTAATAAGAAATGGCAAAGCTAAGCAGTTTCTTGTCTTTTGTGGGTGTGGTCCCTTCACTTTCACATTTCAGAGTATTCATTTTCCCATTCTTCTTTCTCATGTCTGATTTGTAATTATGAAAATGCAAGGCAAATGATCCATAGTGGAACACTACTTTTATAAGTTCCATTTTTCTTTTTATAATTACACAAGTTTGAACATATTATACAAAATAATCGTTAAAACATACGAACAAGAAGATTTCTCATGCATGGCTGCTCTCGAAAAACTGAATGTGGAGTAATCAAAATAAGATAATACGAATGTTAACAATGACAATTACCTAGGCAAAGACATAAACGAAGCAGCGGAACAGGAATTACGCATATTATTTGACAACATGTTCTTAAGAATGATAATCTTGCCTTAGGGGTTGATCAATGCATAAAATGAGGTGTAGTAGAGGTATTAATAAAATGCAATTAGCATTAATTAAATTCCTTTACCGATAATCAAATTTGACACATTTTATATGAAGTTAAAATAGAAGGTACTTTAATATATAAACTGCAGTAGCAACTTTCAGTATGATTTTCCTCTTGTTGAAATCATTACGTCTTGAGACTTGCTGAAAAGTAAAGTACTTATTATTATTTGCTTTAACATTTATGCAAGAAAATGTGGTAATGACAACAGTCAACAGGGCAAAGGCTGCAAACGACAATTCTATTGCTCAGAATTGAGAACATGGACAAAGATCTTCTTCATAAGGCTGATCAGAAATCAGAATATAGTCAAGATCAATCATGAACAAAAAAAAAAAAAAACATACCCAA